GTTTTTGGCTACCTGTGCGCTGAGGGTCTCCAGAGGACTCTCTACGCGGGGGAAGGTCATTAGAGGCAGGCCACGGTAGTCTTCAGTCTTCTGTTTAACTGCTGCACTGTGGACTCCTTTGAAGTTGTTTACAACACATACACCCTGTGAATTATGAGGACAGACCAAGATGAACAGCGAGCTAGGTAGACAATGTTGTTGCTGTTGAGATATTTCAGTCTGGTCCAAAGTGGTGGACTAACCAACAAATTGGCTGCTGCTAACATGGTGCCTTGATAAAGACTTTATACCTTAAATAATATTTACATTCACACTGTTCTGCAATTTTCCAGCCTCCAAAAGAGGAAGAGCTTAGGTTTGTGTGTATACATGTGGTTCCTCAATGTATTGTCAGACAAAATATGCAACAGTCATCGGTAGGTACACCTCAGTGTAGCATGGGTATTACATTATTATTACAAGAGAACATCAATAAAATCAAAATGTTATTTTTTTTATTAAAACAGAAAATTAGAGAAAAAATTAAGAACACCTAAGGGTTTTTTTGGCAACATGTGGTTATATTTTCAGTTTCAGAACAATTACTGCTATAATATAAAGTATATATGTCAGTGGAGAGCCACTCATCTTTGGGGCATGGCAGAGTGAACCGATGCCTTGCATCTTCATTTATATGTCTGCTAAAGTTCTTGTAAATTACAGTTACTTGTAAACTCTGTTTTTTGTCCAGCAGTCTGTTAACAGTTCAGATGCCACCAAAGCCGCTGCATTTCTGGACAAGTTAAACAAAAAAAAAAAAGGCAGCCTGAGGGGTTCCTCTCCCTCCCCCAGGCAAACCATGCCCTGAGGCACTGGCAAAGAAGAAAACGAAGGAGGGCCATTTACTCCTGGAGGATGCTCTAGGTTTGTGGTAGCCCATGGACAGCACTTCTCTTGTGCCAAGAAATGAATGAATCACAGTTTCTAGGCCTGAATCTGAGGATGACTGTCCAACATCTCAGTTTCAACAAAAGAATAAAAAGAAAAACTTTACAAAAATATACATCACAGTAAATCAATATTTTAAGTTGATTAGGCCTTTTTGCTCATTTTTTACATGACATAATTAATTGAACTTATTTTAAGCTATAATCATCCTGCTTGTGTTATATGTAAGATGCAGCATGATGAAAACGATTCTCTGCTCTGATGGGGCTTCGGGGCAAGTCTCTGACTGTCCCAAAGCCCCAGAGAATATCTGTGCAAAGACCTGACATTTCCCATCCAATCTGACAGGAACTGCCAAAAAGGCTGGGATAAGATGCTAATATATTAAATCCAGGTGTCCAAAGTGTGTAGACACTTAACCAAGAAGACCTGAATCTGTAATTGCTGCCTAGGGTACTTCTACAAAGTAAAGAATTTAGGATTTTGCAAGTGAAAAGTTTCAGATTTTGTTTTTTAAAACATTTCACCTCTATCAGACCTGTCCAGATGTGTCTCCTCTTGTCTTGGATCAAGCAAATGCCTCCGTGTCCTTTCTTAGAATTCTACCATCATTCTTGAGCTCCTCAACCAAGTGCTAACACTGATGCTTCAATTTGCTGGCAGGGGACAAACCTCTTTTAGGTCTAACAGCAACCGCTGTTTGATGAGTTCGTTCATATCTTCTCTCTGTCAGGGCTGATAGCACAGGAATCCGAGCTACATTTGCTTTACACTCTTTTGGTACTGATTAATTTCTTTCAAGATAGTAGTATATCAAACAGCCTCTACTCTCAGATGACAAGACCTTCATGAGCTTAATCAGGACGATGTGTAGACGTGAGGCAACCCTTCTCAGATAACAGTTTGCTATTAAAAGCTGAAAATGAGCACTGGCAGATCATTGGCTTTTAGATCCCCTCTACCAACAAAGTACACAACATAATGGCAAAAACAAGATCAGGAATGACTGCCACCAACTCTACTCACCAAGGTGACCTGTAAGCTCCTACTGCAAACAAAACCTACCATCACATTAACAGCCTCTGTGGCCCTAAGATGCCCTCCTAATGCTCAATTATCAATCTGCAAACAGGTTGCAAATCAAATGCTATATATTGTTGGTGTAAACACATGTTGGTTCAATTGCCATGTAACCTGTGGGTCAGCAAACTGTAGAAGTCTTTGCCACAGTATAAATTCACAATCTGTACGCGAGTTCCCCACGTCATAAAGCTGGTTCTCTTTCTTTAAATCATAAAGCTATAAAATCTGCCACCAGCAACCAATGCACAAATAAAAAAAATCTGCTTTATTCTTTCCACAGTCTTCCCTCCACGTCTCCTCCTCCTTCTCCCCTCGTTCACACTCCTTCATGCTGTGATGCTCGAGGCCCAGTTGTAATTACCAGCAATAAAGTCTCTGAGAGTGTTAAATAAGTCTTTTTTTAATTTGCTTCTCCTAAATGGATTTCCAACTTCAACCCAAAATCAACTTTGATGTTTCATCTGTAATCATTACGCTCTAAACACTCCTCAGTAGAAGTGACAGCATATTACAGGAGACTGATCTTGAGACACTTTTGAAGCCCTGTCTGCACAATTTATCCCTTGTTATGACAGCTGTGTTAATAAGACAGATAACAAGATCCCTTACCTCGAGTGTACAGAATTACTAGAGTCACTGGTTCCCTCCATCATCTCTGGATTAAACATAACCACTATTTAAAATAAACATTTCCAGCAACTTTCTTCTCTTTTTTGGTCTCTCTATATCTTCCTCACTGTGCTCTTTTGAAACCAGAGTGACTGCTGAACTCAGTAGAAATCCAGATGCCACTTCAGTATCTATTCTGCTCTTCTCTTTCCTCCAATCAACCAGTGTGTCCTCAACTTCTTCCATCAATCCAAACTCACCTGCATCTGAACCCACTCCAAGCCCAGTATAAACCCTGCTTCATCCTGTTTCACATCTTCTCGCCCATCACCTCTTCGTGAACTGCTCTTTTAGATTCTGCACCAAATGAGCCCATTGCACTTGATGCTAATGTAACATTATGTGAGCTCTCCAGTCAGCATTTGTTCTTGTCAATAATTAATAGAAGGAGTTACTAAAAAGCTGCTGTGTAAAAGAATTTTAGGACATCGTGTAAATTTGCATCAAAGAATGACTTTAAAGCAGCCTAATTTCTCTTTAGACACTAGAAGGTCTAATGAAACTCAAACTGACACCATAAGCTGCTCCTAACTACTCTTTGCGCCTCCCTTCAAGTCTTGTTACCTAGTGACGACATAAACTATGGATGCAATGTTTTGTGACTAACTGTAAAAAATGCAGCTTCCATTCTGAAGCTAGTATTAGATGACTAGTGAAAAAATTTGTCAGTCGAATACAATGCCCTGGTTACTGCTAATGTCGCAAAAAGCACTAATGTTACACAAAGCTCCGAATTCTCCCAAATTAAAATGATACTGAGTCAGTACAAAGGTAAAGTCATGACTATGCTATGTCACTGATGTTTCAAGAACAAACACATTAGCTGTAGAAGCTACTGCATCCAAAGCGAAGAACATCACACCTGTATTAAATTTAGTCCTTTGGGCTGCTTTTAAACCTGTCCACGTCATAAAGCCAAATCAATGTTGACCCTGGTTTTTACTCTTTCTGTGTCCCACTCTCTCTGCGCAAAACAGTGCAGCCTCGATGGTTTGGCAGCCACAGTTTCAAACTTTCAGTAGCTGAGAAGTTCCTCATGGCTGGCTGTTTGAAATGACAACTTGTGGTTCTAAAAATGCTTTTTATAACCTTCACTAGATGGCAGGCAGGGCTAATTTACAGAATGTACTTTGACAACACAGAGCAGAGAAGCTGAAATAACAACAGAAGTGCTGTAGACAGCAGAGTGTAATAGAGAGGGTTAGGACAGCAAAGAGACAGCACGTCCTGCCCCCTTTCACTTGCTTTATGTGTAAAATCTTGAACTTTGAAAATGGCGTCAAACCCACCGTTACAGGTTTTAGTAAAGACTGCAGTGTGAATTCATCATTTAATTATTGGTTTCGGTCAGTTACAAAATTAAGCTAAAAATTATTGTTAGTATAAGTCATAACCAGAATACTCCTTAAAATAATCATCTTTTTTTTGTCTTTTCCTCTAATGCTCCCTCCGAACTTTCTGCTCCTCCATTGTTCTTACCAGAAAGAGAGCGACAGCTGACCCCAGTATAAATCCAGCCACTACGTCGGAACAGTGGTTTCGGTACTCTGAGACTCGGTTGAGGCCTGTCAGGAAGGCCGAACAGAGTGTACCCAGACAGAGCACAGGCTTGGCTAGGCGGCTGGACTTGGTCTTGATGGTGCTGGTGATGTACATCTGGAAAGGAGAATAGTAGGGATGTTAGAGTAAACCAAATATGTGAAAATATGTACAATTTTTTTTTGTTTTTTTCCGTCTCAAACTATTAACAATAGCCCGCATTCCTCTCTTAAGGCAGAAAAAACTGAGGCATGTCTCATGTAGAGCAACTGGAGATGCTCCCACAGAAAGTGAGTCAAATATTTAAAAGTTTTGTGACAGCAGAATACCTAAATTGCACTATAAAAAAAAGTTAGAAAAGATGTCAAAAACTTGCATCATATGAGTGAAAGAACATTCCAGAACAAAAGGGTTTTTTTCCACAGAGAATACAGAGAATAAAAGATTACAAGATGAGCCTAATAAGAAAACCTCTTACGTTTAGTTTTAAAAAGATTCTCAGACATCAGCCCAAGTTCTTACTTCTTGAGCTTTTACAGTATCTCCTCCTATGCCATTCAAGACACCATACAGGTACCTGTATGCACCAGTTTTTTTCCATCGACAATCTCTATTTGTATTCCTCTTGTTCCTCTTGATAAAATCTGAACTTTTGCTCTCTTTCCCCTTTCAGCAGCTGAGCCCTTCCATCACTCCGATGTCAAAGAGTACCTCTTCAAACAGCCATTCTTCATGTGCTCCTGCAGCCACTTTTCTAAAAATGCCTGAACCCACCCAGCACTTGTATGAAATCATTCTCAAGACAATTTCAAGAAACCTCCTTGACAGTTCCTCCATCAAAGGGAGCTATGCTGCCCCTATTTTCAGCAAATATGTCTTCCTATTCAGAGCCTTTGTAAATTACACATCAGTCTAGACTAAAATTGTACTGCAGCAATTACTGAAATCAAACTCCCGTGGTAGTGGTTGTTGTGATTTTATGACTTTCTTTACAGAGACATTTTAAGGGATTTACTATATGTACTTGTGTATAGGGTATAGCCATTATTTTATATAGGTTGTATTTACACAGACTAGGGTTTGCAGCAGTTTAGACTACAAACTGTACATGATACAAGTCATATCTTTTAGTTCAACAGCTATGAATAGGTATTTAATTCTCAATTGTTCATCACGGTTATAGAATTTAATATCTTCATACAGGCTGTGTTTCTTACACAGTCACGCATGCATAGCCTTTACACTTACAATACATGACATTTTTAATTTAATATACGTGGGCACCAGCAGGGAGACAAGTTTGATCCTTGTAAGTGTCCTCAGTCGTTTGCAGCTAACGCTAAACCAACATATGGTGAGGCATTACAGTGCTTAAAATACTTGAATTTAAATAAGTACTCCACCAGTTTAGCATGGCACTATAACACTGTGAGACTCACAATGTACTGTGTGTATGTAATGTGTACTATATGTCAAAGCAATATTTAAAAAAAAAAAGTTTAATTTCTTTTAATTGTTCTAAAATCCTAAAGGAAAAACTATGAACTAGCAAAAAAAAAAAAAAAAAGGAAATAACTTCCCTATGTCCATGTGCATTTTTCTCACCGTCAGGTAAACAGCAGAGTAGACACTCAACGAAGCATCCTTAGATGGGAACGACCGGCGGGCGTTCTCCACAATAACAGGATTCCCAGTGCAGATGTTGCCATTGATGATAAATTGGTGATTCAAATGACAATCTGTACCAGTGTAGTTGGGCTTGCAGACAGACAGGAAGTAGGGGGAGAGTCCTCCTGTCACAACTTGGCCCGCGTTGACGAAGATATCTGTGGCAAACAGACCGAATGCAAACACACCTGGGGTGGGGTGCACAGACACATGGAGCACAGTGAGAATTCATCATATAAAAGCTTAAAAATACAGCAAATAAAGACACAAATACAAAGCATTAAATGCTTTGCAAACAGTTCTGACTTATTATTATGCAGTCACCTTATAACTGGCCTGTGACTATCAGGCTCCCAGCGCTGGCAGATAAGCTCCCAACTGTCATTAGACCCCAGAATATCTAATTTTAATATTACCTTCATTCCCTGAAGATTTTTTTATTGCAAAAGAATAATTATTTATAGTCACTGTAGATAGTTTTTGAATGATCAAATAAAGGAACTGAACTTTGAATGTGAATAGTATTGATTGTGTAATGTCTTTCCAGTGTTCATAATGATATATGAAGCTGCATTAGTCTCAAATCTTCTTACAGCTACATTACACCAGCATGTTTTTTTGTCACTAATCCCCAGCCTTAGTCCAAAATATAGATAAAACAGGTTTTAGTTTTTGATTTCAGTCTATTTTACAGTTCAGTATGAATCTAGCATCAGTACAGACATGAGAACTGAGCAGAAGAGAAATGCTGGAACCAAATGAAGTTAAATCAGAAGTAAAGAACAGAGGACACCAGGCAGAAAATGAAACAGAGAAACACAGAAAATAAAGCAGTATGTAATATAAACGATTGCAATGACACTTTCAGCTCACCAACCCTGACCAGTGAGTATCTGCAATGCATGTGTTTTGTGGTGAAATATGACTACTGATTATGTGATTATGTGGCCTGCTTAGCCATGAAATTGTTCTGCTTTGAATTCTCGCCCTGCAAAGGGCTGGGGATGATGGGTATAGGTTGGGGGCAGAGGGAGGGGTTGGGTGCCTGTGAGGGGCATGGGGACACAGAAATAGAGACGGGTAATTAGGGTGGAGAGGAGAGGACCTGGGAGGGAGCAGGAGAGTAAGAAATTAAAAACTTAAATAATCCCACAAATCTGAGAGAAATACAAATATAAACAATGTTAATTGCCTAATGAATTGCTGATGAGTGTTATTATAAAGTGAAGAGAATTATTTAAAAATGAATAATACAGTTCTGATTATGCCAGGAAAAGTCCAGCAGGTAATCCAATTTACTGGAAAAGTAGAAATTTGCCTCAAAACACAAGACAATATATTGAGTTTGCACAAGAACATCTGCCAAGCAAACAACTGTCCTGAGGCTGTGATTTAAAGGATGCTTAGGTGCTTTTATGTATTTAAAATATATGCCTGCCATCCATACCCTTGCATCATTGTTTCTCATTTCATCCATCAATGTTTTCCATCGATCCGTCTCTGACATGACAGAAAAATAGCTGATCCCAGTGATTTTGATCCTGTCATTCCTGGGTCACCCTCTTTTTGTCCTTTGTAGGATAAATTAGTTCTGTGGTGAATCCATTTTATACTGTCATTGAGACATAACAAATCTCCAATCTCTGAACCATCAGGGTTGCCACTGGAATCAGTAACTCTTTGCATTGGAGCTCCCTTCACAGGTGACTGACAGTGTCCACCTTCAACTATCAGCTCAGTCGTGATATTCAGTATGTTAAAAGTTTATCTGATAACCGTGAAAGCTACTGATACAATCATGATGTTGTAGATGCATGGTTTACTGAGCTATTTGTCCTGAATATAACAGCTGACTCCAGAACTTAAACTTAATACGGTATATTCTAATACTGAACTAAAGCAAGATCATTTAGCTACAAAACAAAAACCATACAGTCAGTGAGTATGCAACTTTGCAGTGAACTGAATGAAATTATTTGAATTAGTGAAATGGCCCGTAATTTGGTCTTCCAGTCCACTGCAGTTGCAGCGGGGTGAAGCACCAGGCAAATGCTGGTGGGACTTTATGGGAATGTGGCACAAAATAGTCACTGTCTCAGTAAAAATCCACTGCTTCCACTAGATTGCTGTCACAATCCTCCGGTGTGTAACACTCTAATGAGCAGTGTTTTACCAGCACTTCCAAACCAGTTGTTTTTAACTCTGAATGGTCAGTGTAATTCATGAGATACAAACTGTGAATGTAACTAAAAATATCACTCATACTTGGAGAAAAATGAAATTTTTACATTTTATTCAATATATTTAAAATAAGCAATAACAATACGTTTTATTTTTATGCTTTTGCTGACTTAAAGGTACAGCACGTGTGAACTAGTGACATCTAGTGGTGAAGTTGCAGATTGCAATGTTCAGCAAAGCTCTCATACATCGTGCTAAACACCCCTCACAGCTGCTGCACAGCATACATATGTAAATATAGAACAAACTGGACAAAAGAAGTGTAGCTGACTTGACCAAGCAAAGGCTAATTACGACTCACTTCACTGCAGTGTAATTTTCAAGAAGGCTGAAGGCTAAAGTTTAACTATGATACTCCATTTATTCAAATTATAGATCTTAAACTCACAACAATGCTTCCTTTCATTCCTAACACTACTTCTTTTTGTCTTTCAACTGTTTCCAAAGCCGAGCTACTACTTCCACATGAAAACGCAAAATCTGCACCAGTGTGTGGTTTGTCCGTTCTGGGCTACTGTAAGAAACATGGTGGCTGAACATAGCTGCCTCAATGACTCATTACAAGCTAAAGAATGCATTGATTCTTATTTTCTGGTGATTGCACATTAATGAAAACATAATTATGCATACTACAGCCCATTTCTGCTAATAAATTCTTCTACATCCTACAAACTACACCTTTAATAAAGGGTAAAATCATAATGAAAACAAACTGTGATGTGTGTGGGAGCATGTTTACTCATGACAGTGTATGTTTCTGAGTTATCTATCTGTTATGTTCAATATGAGCAGCCTTAGAGCAGTTCTGAGTATCTGACATGATAACTTTCTTACCTATGAAGCGTATGATACGGCGGATAAGGGGGTTGAGGTAACAACACTCTCCTGTCACAATGGTTTTTTCCTGGGCCAGGAGAGCTTCCCTTGTTGATTTCATCACATACATGGATACCTCTCCAATGAAAATCTGCAAACACACACACATGCAAATACACAGAAAATATCCAAGAGAAGAAAAAGATAAGAAGAGATTTAGAACACTCCAGATATAATAAACCAGTGTGTGTATTAACACAGCCTTTCTTCTGGTCCATTATAGTGTGGACACTACATCAGGTCTAATGGAAAAAACACTGCTGCTGGACACTAAAAAATTAAACTCGTTGCCAGCTGCCTTGGGTGATGCAGGCTTCTACAAAAGCATGAGTGAGAGAGTGTGCATACACTGCATATGTGTGAACACACTTAATTTTGGCCTTTGGTGTGTATGTGTGTGTGTTCAGAAGAGTTTGCTTTCAGCCCCAGGACAAGCAACAAAACTCCTGTTTTCCTCAGTCCCTTAAGAATGAATTTTTATCATCAGTATGTTCTTGTGAATGCAACTCTAATCTATTTCTTTCTTTGTGGCTCTGAGTAGTGGGAGCAACTGATGCTAAGATGCTGGAAAACTAAAAGAAGAAGAAGAAAGAGGGACTGACAGCAGTCATAAAACAAGTGTGACTGATTTAGAGTTCTGCACTGGATTCAGTTCTGTCTGGACTGATCAGCAACAAGGAATCTGAATTAATATTTCAAATGTGTTTTTCAAGTATCACAAAGTGTGCAAACATTAAATGAAACTATCATCAAATGCATCTGAAAATCCATCTTTTGATGTTTAATGACCTAGAAACATCTGTCTTCAAATGCATAACACCCAAGACAAGGCTAACTAGCATGGTAAAGCCAAGAGTGCGACTAATCAAAATGCATTTGACAGAGGTCAAAAAGAAGGGCAAGTGTAAGTGTAAAACTCCGTTCTGCTCCGCCCAGTGCACCCTCTCCCTGCTCCACTCCACCACGCTCTGCCCAGCTCTTCAGATATTTGTTATTATGAAATTACAAGAAATGAGAATGCGAACAAAACCTTGCTGGTCAAACAGAAATAATTGAACCTATCTGATTGGTTAGAGAGTTCAATCCCCCTCAAAAACATTTAGAAGCTAATATCTCTGTGCTGCTGCCAGTGTTGTTCAGTGAGTCTGGGTCACAGCAGGCTTTGACAGCAACTCTCTAAATTAAGACAAGTTTTGAAGCATCTAAAACAAAAATATTTGAAAGAAAAGTTACATACTATAGCTTCAAATTACATATTGGCATATGAAGAGCGTTTTCGTTGTTTTATCAGTGTGCAGGCACTTTTTTCATACTGTAAGTGTAAAACTAATTCACACAATTTCATTCAGGTGATCAAATGTTGCTAAACACAGTTATTTCCTGCTACTTCTCCTAAATGCTGACTTTAACATTTTCATGCTAATAGCAATTGCCTTGAAGTATTTGTTTCACCAGGGTCTACTTTAGCAAAGAAAAGGTTAGTAACCACTGACTGATGGTTTTATTTCTACTAATGTAGCCTCATGATATTTATTTTACACAAATATCATGAAAGGAACGCAAGTATCTCCAAATGTACCATGTCAAACAACAGACACACCTTGGCAGAATGAAGAGGCTGAACATGTAAATCTGGTCCACAATAACCCTTGAAAGTCCATAAAACATTGTATCTGTGACATTAAAATGAGAGTAACTGCCCACAGTATTTAGGAGAACCATTTCTTATGCAGTCTATGCTTTTTTTGTACTCACATATTAAATGTGACAGCTGTCCCCTGTGGAAAACTATAAATGATTCATGGTGTGGTTCGTTCCACCAGCCTGACCACCACAAGTAGAGAATTTTTTTTTATTATCAGAAAACAATCTCATGCATAGCCTGAGGCAGCAGAAAATGTACTGATTGTTAACAGTTTACAGGCTGTTTATATTAGTATGTGATGGACTTTTTCAAATCTTAATATAAAACAAATCTTAGTGCTAGAAGTTAATATTGAGAAGTATGAATTACAAATGTCATAGCCAGCTAAAGCAACCCTCAAAAGGACTAAAATGTCTCAAAAAACTCAGAATCTGAAAACTGCTCTAGAGATAATACTTTAGTTCCTTTCTTGATCCTCACACTGCATGTACAGTATATTATAAATTAATCAATCATTCATTCACAAGTTGAGCAGTTCCACTACCAATCAAGTCTACAAGCTGGAGCAAGACATGACTGTCAAACATTTTGTTGCTTAGATTTGGACTAACTGCTCCTAGATATGTCTCTACAGCCAGAAAATCCAAAACTGGACAACATGGCTACAACATTTGTTTGTTTTTTTTTTATCTTTCTGTGGTCATGATGAATACCATCAAATCAATTGGCTTCTCAGTTCCACATCCAATGATATTCAATTTATGAAGGAAAATGGAAGATATAATTCTTTTTGCCTGATTTTAATGTAATAATTGATCATCAAAAGTGTCCACTTTCTGTGTCTACTGTCACAGATTAGTTCATTTATTGTTTCAGCAGTTCTGGGCATTGGGGAGTGTTGTGGGTGAAGACAGCCAACCCTGCTGAGCATAATGAGCTGAGAAAAATGCCATCGAACAGATATTTCTACATAAATAAAGGTCAAAGTGACTACAGTGACTAGACTACGGGACCGTCACCTGATTCTGCAGTAACTGCCAGGTCTGCGGAGCATTTTAGCGTCTTTCAGTTCATTGTTTTGGTTCCAGGTCAAAAACTGTCACCTGATTCTGCAGTAACTGTCAGGTCAGCGGAGCATTTTAGCGTCTTTCATTTCATTGTTTTGGTTCCAGGTCAAAAACTTCACTCTTTGTTTGACTTACTGCTCTAATCCAGATCTTTTCCAGCTGCAGCATGTAGCCCTAGCTAACCTATGTCTTCCCAGTATTAAACAGCAGAAAGAAAAGGTTAGTTATTAGCAAGTGAACACAGTGAAGCAATTAGCAGCTAATGAGACACATACTTCCTTCAGGAGGCAGTAGAGAACAAAAACAGAGCTAAAAAGAGTGAATAGTGGACCTACATTCATCGAGTGAACAGAAACATGACTCCACATGAATTCTAATGCTACCTTGTGCCTGCTGGATTTGTAAATAAAAATCTGTTTGCTTTATAAGGTGATAATATGTAATGCAGTTTTAATCGTTTCTTAATGAGTCAATCACTTTAAGTATTGATACCAAGACACATAGAAAAAATGCCATTAAGGACCTAGGTATAGTAAATTGGTTTAGGAAAGAATGCACTGGAGTTTTCCCATTTACCACAGTACAGTACTTCTCTAATATCTCTGAGCTTTTAAAAGAAATTTATGTTGAGAAACTTTGACAGTCGGTTAGGATGGTTACTGCACGGCCCCTAACATTAGTTAGCTGCCTAGTCTCTGTTGAACCCCCCCTTGACAAGAACAGCAGGATACTTTCACTGTCTTAACTCTGAGGGTGACAGAATGACGTTCTTATATTGGCCAAACAGATTTATAGACCATTGTGCGAGTATGACCCATCTAACCTCCACAGCCTCCCATTGTTCCGGCCATGTGGAACACTCTGCATAAATTACTGCCTCTCCTCTAATTGGCTAACATCCCAGCCTTGTCATCATTCACTCTGGCTAGCCAGGTTTATGGGGCATGTGGGGATAGAGCAATACATACCGTATCAAGTACAACTTAAGCACCTGACACAGCAGTATTAAAGGACATGATTAAAACATTTGGGATAGCATACAGATTGATAAAGAAACAGTGAAGGCCACACATATACCAATGTGAAAGAGAGAGAGGAAAGAGATAGAGGCAGTGTTAAACAAAACTTGAACAGCCGACACAGCACACTCTGAGGAGGAGTGTGTGATCAGCAATGAGCAGGATAAAGGATTTAATGGCTGTTATGCACACCTACTCAAAAAAATGAAACCGTATAACCATAATAGACACCCTCCCCTCCTGCTCTGCTCTGATCTCCTCTCCTCCCCTCTCCTCTCTCTCCCTATGCTTCTATATGCCACCATTACACATTACTAACTTTGTGTCTCCTCTC